GGTTTTTTGGAAGCCCGATCCGGGTCACCGATCCGTTTTTTAAACCATTGGGTAAAAACATGATGAAAAACTTCTGAAAATAGAGTGACACTTTGAGACTAAATTAGTTAATGGGTTTGAAGCAAAGTAATTAATGGATATTTATGCATGATCATGGATTCTTATGCATATAGGCTATAACTCATGAAGGACCACACTATGAATAAGCATGATGAAAAAGATGATCAAATGGGGATTCTAAGATCAATGGAACTTTTCTAAATTCAAAACTCTAGCAAATATAGATGCCAAGGATATGATCTCATGAGAAAAGAAAATTCAATGGAGTTTACTTTGATAAATGCACACTATGGACTTAAGCATTAGAAAGGAGGACCACCATTAAGATCACCATTAATGGAATTCTAAAAACTCTCTCTCTTCAAATTTCTCTCACAAAACCTTAAAAGAAGGAGGGGAGCAACTATTTTCCAATATGATTCAAGAGTTGAGATAGTTAGGTTGAGATCTCATGATGTGCTTTTATAACATGGGTGTAACTTTGGATTCAATGAACACCCTTGATGCACTAATCCAAAGACATATGAGAGATTAATATACCTAGCCACCCATCCCAATTCAACCACTAGGATGAAGGGATGAGATTTTACACCATTATCACTCACCCTAACCTTAAGTTATGCCACTTTATCATTTTTGTCTTTGGCCCATATTTTTGTTCCAATTGTATCCAATATAGCCTTACAAATATATCTTTAGTTTTTTTTTTAATAATGTAGATAACCACAAAGTGATTGACTTTGATAAAAAAAGGGTCTTAATTTATAACATTACATAACAAAATATAATAATAGATAACAAGACACCATAACACAACCCCTTATAAACCAAGTAATCAAATGCCAATCTAGTCCCCCACCTAGGGATCAATGCCCAGTTGGGAGGTGATCCTAGAGTGAGGTGTGGGGCGCCATGTGGCAGTCTTATGGCCACTCGAACGCCACATGGTATTACTAAGTCAGGATTAAAGTAGAATTTGAGCCAAACAATATGAAAACCCTCATTTTTTTAGCAAATAAAATTTTGAAAAAATTATCTAAAATTCACATTAAATATTTAAAGTATTTTGAACAATTATTATGTTTTTCTCATTATTATAAAATTGAACAAAAGGTATAGTGAGATCTCAGGCTAATAATTATAAGTATCAGAGTACTCCATTGGGCTAGTCCCAAATGATGTTCCGCCGAGTCTCATATCAACCGAATAGACCTATGTTCTACAGTCTAAAGCAGGGATACATAATTGGCCATATCAAAGTCGTTGAGCCAAAACTTTCGATTATTCGGCTCTCAATGGATTACAGGTGTACCCCCGTGAGACATGATCCAACTCAATTACAGGGGTTCTGTCAAAACACATGTGCACTAGCACTTCTAAACTCGGATAATGCATTTGGAAGAGTTGTTTCCCATACGAAATGAAAATGTACATACCATGTAATGGTCTCGTGTCAAGATACGGACTTATGTCCCATAAGTCTTGACTATTCCATACAGGGCGAATACTCAATAAATACTCGAGTTCTATTTTTCTTATTTGGATTATCCAAGCCCTGGCCAATTGCAGCTAAACATGAGGCTAACCTATAAAATCATGACTAGGAGGTGACCCTCACACCTTCTTGAGAAATTGCTTCCTCAACACGTGAACTCTTGATGCCTCGTGCGTACTCGGGGTAAAAGAATCTGAGCTCCATTTCGCAAGACGCTAAGATTTCAATCTCTCAATCGCTCCTACTGAATGTGTGATTACTAAAATTTAGGCCTTGATAGGCCATATTTCCAACAAAAGGATCCCCTTGTAGTAAACCTCTAGATGCATGGAAGAAGCCTTTTGGGCTACCATTTATGAGGATAGACAAGTGAGCTGAACCAAAATTCCAATTCTTCCATTTAGACCCAAAACCCATCTTTATCATATTTTCAAAAAAATACTGCACTCCACTCCGTTATATGCTTTTTCCATATCTAACTTGATTACCACACCTGGCTCTAGACTCAAAAGCCTCAAATGAATACATTCTTGAGCTACTAGCACACTATAAAAAATCATTCTATCTTGAATAAATGTTGATTGGGTGTCAAAAACAACCGTTTTGAGCACTAGCTTAAGCCTCTCTGCCAAAACTTTAACCAAAATCTTATATATGCCGGTAAGGAGATTAATTGGTCAAATATCCGACAGTGAAGATACGATATGATCCCTAACAACTCACCATTTTCCATAAATTCCCTAACGATTTCCAACAACTCTACATTCACATCAGAACCTTTGGAAGGAAAAAAATAGGAACCCGTTGGACCGAGAACCTTATCACCAAGAAGCATGAAAACTGCTTTTTTTAGTTCTTCCATGGTTATCCCAGTTTTAAGATTTTCCGCCATCTCAGGAGAAATAAGCTTAAAAGACACACCATCCAGTTTAGGCTCAAAAGGAATTTATGCCGTGAACTCCTTTTGAAAGTGCGCCACAATACTATCTTTCCATGCACCTAGAACATCCTCAGCAATACCAGGAATAACAAGGCCTCGCCTCCTGTGGGCACTTGCAAGGCAGAATTTGTATTGCGATCGCCTTCTTTTAACCACTTCATCTTAGATCTCTCTTCCAATAATCACTAAGATTTTCAGCATTGAAACATCTTTCAACACTATTTGAAGATGCGCATTACTTTGACAGCAATTGAGCCGTATGTGAAATTTGTTGTGATTTGGAGGAAGTAATCGAGTCTCGACGAGGAAATGTGTCCCTGTGGACCTTTTTGGCTTTTCAAATAGTCAATGTTCAAAAGTCAGAATGTGAAAAATAATCGACCTGCAATTTGAGTGGTAAAGCTATGCTGGATTGTCAATTTATCATCTGTGCTAACAACTCTTGTAGGAATTTACTTAAAGGAGGCAGAGAGAGAGAAATGGCTTGAGCGCTTTCAAGTCTTTGGTTTGGAGAGAGAGATGAGTAGTGTTAATAATCCTTGGGTCTTGTTTGGTGTTGGTGCGCTTAGCCTCTTCTTAATGAACAGAAGGTTGAGGAACAAGGTCATGTCCAGGGATGAGTTTGGTGTCGCTATGTCTACTAAAGCTGATGAAAATTTTGGTGCTTTCATGGCCAAGTTTCAGCTGCTTCCTCCTCCAAAAACCCCACAACCTCTTTCTGGTCTCACTTTCGCTGTCAAAGACATGTAACCAGTTTCTTCTCCCCTCTTTGTTCTTCTTTTTCTTCCTCTGCTTCCTCTACTATCCATCCATTTTGTTGCTCATTCTACTGGAAATCAATCAAGCTCATGGTTTACTCGAGTGTTAGGACTTGCTTATGGCATTGGATTCGGCAACCAATGATGGTTTAGATTATTTCCACATGGGCAATTGGGTTCCTATCGATTCTGATAGACCCCATTAAAATTTAATCAGAAACCCATGATGGTATAAATTGTTTCCATATGGTTAATCGGGTTCCTATCTATTGATTCTGAGTTGACCCATGAAAATTTAATTTCCACAATTGCTCTCTGTTAGTACGAATTGAACCAAATCCCCAATTTTAATCAGAATCAGTGCTATTCTGTTTAAACGGATTTGATATATGTTTTCATGTATGTAACAAATTCTTGATTGTTTTATGTTCTGGGACAGATTTGATGTTGAAGGATATGTTACTGGATTCGGTAATCCAGACTGGGCTAGGACCCATGAAGCTGCAAAGCAAACAGCGCCTGCAGTATTGGCTCTCATAGAAGAAGGGGCCACTTGTATAGGAAAAACTGTCATGGATGAGATGGCTTACAGGTGAACACAACATTCTTCTCTTTATATTCCAGATATTCATCCCATGGGGTTTGTTATCTCAATTTCCAAAAAACTCAATGCTTATTGTTGAGTTACTACACCCTATACAACATCGACTACTTGTATGTGCAGTATAAATGGAGAAAACAAGCATTATGGAACCCCAACCAATCCATGTGCTCCTTCACGTATACCTGGAGGGTCTTCTAGTGGATCTGCTGTTGCAGTTGCAGCCGGGCTTGTAGACTTTGCCCTTGGTGTGATTTTGATCTGCAATACCTTGTCAAATGTCGGGTTTCCTTTAATGCTCTTCAACCTTTTCGAAATTTTAGACCTTTATGAATGTAGTTACTAGTGAAAGGTTTACTTTTAGAGTTGGGACATAGTTTATGAAGGCAAGCGGCAGATTAAGCCCATAGGTTGTATTCAATAACTTGTTTGCTAAATGAATCCTCTTTACTTTTTTCCCAGCTGTATGTTGCTTGAATTTTTGTGTATATTAGCTATGGGTGTAGTTTCCATAAGGTTGCAACCTTAAACAATTCAATTAAGGCACACCTTCAAATTTTATCGTAACATAAAATTTTGATGTAAAATATTCTTAGGATTATCTCAAAATCTAATTTCCTATCTAATTATAAAATTTTAAATTTTAAAAATGGTTAAAATCAAATAGATCTATATACATATGAAAATGTTGAAAATGGACAGTCTAGATAATGTGTTGTAAGATGTACTGTTTCTGGGACTCAAAATCTTTTTTTTTTCATAGTCATACGTCTCGATGTTGGGATGATCAATTAGAGGGTTTTTCAACATTAAAATAACTTTCTCCAATGGATTTTTGAGGTGCATCAGTAGTTCTACATTTTAAAGTTGCAACCTTATATAAACTTTTTCCATTAGCTATTGGCTTGAAATTGCACTGAAAAAAATGGAACTGATTCAACTGCATTAATATCCTTTCTCTGTCGCACTATCCTTGCATACGGACTTGACTGATAGCTCACTTATTTGTTGGGGATATAGAAATTCAGATTGAAGTGGCTTACTAACATCTGAATGATTTTTTATTAAATGCATGACTGTTGATTAATATACTGTCTTCCATCTTTTGAGGAACGTTAAGCAATAAACTCGAATGTTTATCTCGCATACTAATTCTCAATGATGTGGTTCTTACCATGTCTCACTATTGCATAGTATTCTTGTTTGGCTTCTTACCTATTATGGATGAGGGTATCATTTCTTGGCCCTACTATTTTTTCTGCTCATCTATTAGTTATTCCTTGTCTATTTGTTCCTACTCTTGGATTTAGAAATGTCAGAATAACATCAACATATAGTGGATTTGATATAGCCCTGAGAGACTGATATATTCTGCAAAACCTGCTTATACTTTGTCCCAAGAATGTTTTAGTACCGTACTATAAAAAATTATATTTATTTTTTAATTGAACCTGCTTTTACTTTGTCCAAAGAATGTTTAGTATGGTACTAAAAAAAGTTATATTTACTTTTTGATAGAAACATGTCATAAAATAATAAGCATCCTGGAATAGGTACCGATACTGGTGGCAGTGTGAGGGTGCCAGCAGCATTCTGTGGTATTTTAGGATTCCGGCCTTCACATGGAGCTGTTTCTACCCAGGGTGTTATTCCCATGTCTCAGAGTTTTGATACTGTTGGTAAGGGGATCATTTGGTTATTTGATTCAAATGACTTTTCATGAAAGTTTTCTATCTCTTCAAATATGTTGTGGTTGTAATCTAACATTGTAAATATGAGTAATATCAGGATCTTCGTTTACGATTTGGCTCTAATGTTCTATGAAAATTTTGTCCTTTGTAGTATTTGTATCTTCTTGATGTTGATGAGTTTATTCCAAATATTTTCATGTCGGTGACTTGTATATGTTATGTAGGATGGTTTTCTAGGGATCCTGGCATCCTGAGTAGAGTGGGCCAAGTGTTATTGCCATTATCGCATGCAAACTCCAAGAAAGTTGGACGTATTATAATTGCTGATGATTGTTTCCAGTATCTAACAATTTCAAGTGACCGTGTTACTCAAATAGTCATCAAATCCATCGAAAAGTTGATTGGAAGTAAGTGATCACTCTTCTGCAATCTATACATGTAATGTTTTAGATAACTAGTATTATAGTGTAGAATTTTGTATAAATTGGTTTAGTTCCCTGGGAAATTTGTACTAACATAATAAGGTAATCATCTATAACAGGCCAAGTGATAACTCATGCAAACTTTGGAGAGTACATGTCCTCTAAAGTTCCAACCTTGAAACCCTTTATCGAAGAATGTGAAAATCATGGAGGCATGATACCTTCCTTTGCAGCCCTTTCAAGTGCCATGCGGTTGCTTCAAAGGTCTGGATCTTCTTGCAGAAAGACATTCAACCTTTTTTCTGGCATTCCATGTATATTAGATATTTTATTGTGAGTCTTTTCCTTTATGGAGAAAGATTTGTGGTACATTTCTGGTAGAACACATTCTAGTATAAATGAAGTGCATTTATCTTGACTTAAAGGTAGCATAAAATTGTATTACTTTAGATTGTCTGCTATCCTAAAGCTGTGACAATAATTCAAAGTTTAGGAAAATCGTGCCGTCCCAATTTGTTGATTTATTATCTAGAATAATCTTATGACGTGATAAGTACTTTGTGTTGAAGTCTTGCAAGCTTCAGTGGTTCTTTAGTGGTCATTTTTCAGATGGGTTTTTTTGGTATCAATATAATTGAATGCTCATGCTTTTGAAACACAGGTATGAGTTCAAGAGAAATCATGAGGAGTGGGTCAACACTACCAAACCTGATCTAGGTCCTGGTATATTAGAACGGGTACAGGCAGCTCTCGATACGACAGATGATAACATTGATCTCTGTCACAACATAAGGAGTGAAATGCGTGCTGCTCTCAGTGAACTTCTTGAGGTAAATGCTTATTTCTAAATGTTACTAATTTAGCAAATTCAACAAAGAAAGGAAACGAAAAACAATGGTTGTATAATAAATCCCAAGATTAAGGTTAATGCACCCTTCCATTTTCTTCATATCCCTCCTTTGCTTAAGCTTGATAACAATGTCTTATTCTGCAAAATGAAAAACATGAATAATAATCTCAGATCCTCTTTCCTGAGTACTGCTCCTATAACCTGTCACAATTCTTAGGATCCTCATTTAGGATGTCATTCACTTTCTGTGCTATGACTTGATTCCTTTCTGTCTGTAGTAATGATTCATATGGTTTGTATGAAATTGTAATGTTTCCTATCTTGGGGCCTTTTCAGGTCCTTTCTCGATCTAAGAGGTGTTGAGGTCTTTCCTTATTCTTGCTTAAGTTTCTTTTTCCATTTTTGTGGTTTGGGTCAATAACAGGTTTCCCTATTATATGCACTATTTTCTTGTACTCATTTTCATGTCTCATACCACTTAGGATGATGGAATCCTCATAATCCCTACCGCCCCTGGACCTCCACCTGAACTTCAGACTGAGGGAGTATGGTTGGAGAATTTTCGGGCCAAAGCTTTTAGCGCCCTGGCTATTGCTGGGATGTCTGGGTCCTGTCAGGTAATCATTTTTGTAATATTTTGTTTGAGACGTTCTCTTCAAATTTCAAATTAATTGGAACTGGAAGCCTAGTAACTACTTATTGTTCAACTTTTTGGTTTGTGTCATAATGACAGGTTACCATACCCTTGGGAATGCATGAATTGTGCCCAGTGGCTGTCTCATTTTTAGCTCGGCATGGAGCAGATTTCTTTTTACTTGAAACTGTTCAGACAATGTATGGAATTCTTCAAGAACAGGTTGCACTCCTGTGAAGTTTGGAAACCTGGACCAAAGCAGGAATGGAAATTCTGCCATTATGCTCAAAGGGAAGTTAACTATTTTCCAGTGGTTTGGCATCGGTGTCCATGAAGCTCCTCATATGTAATATCTTGATTCTGCCCTTTGATGAAAATGGGGTTTATCAGCCAAACAAATTCGAAATAAGTTCAAGATGTATTGCAGAAAATCAGGCCAGATTTGGCTTCCTATTCATTATTTTGCTCTTGCATAGATTTTATTGTAAATCTACTTACATTTGATTACATTGTCACCTTCTAATATGGGATCTTTTCTAATTACACGATCTTGATATATTTGTGGTGAGTGCGGTTTTGGTTGTTCTCATTGTGTAGCTGACATTCCGTGCTCTTCTTTTTATTGGTAAACTAAATTCTCTCTATATTTAACACTCTTCCTCAAAGAGACCAGATTTGGCTTGCACACACAAACAAAATGAATTAAAAAAAGTGCAATTAATTGGCGAGAGCCGCTAAAGAGGTCAGCGTACTGACTGGATCTCCCTATGCTCCCCAGCCATGCACAAAAGGATTATAACTCTGCTTGCTTCTTGATTAAGTATTGTACATAAGTGGAGTTTATACCTGACTGAGCTTCTTGATTACTTCTACCAGTTTCAAAACTCTGAGACACAGTATATGTATGTGAGTAACAGAATCCACAGATCATAATAGTAAGGCTTTCGATAATCTGGACTCACAAGCAGAACACAGATTTAGTCCGCCAGGTTTAAAAGAGACCTCACACACAACAAACCCCAACTCAAGTCCCTCCTTTCCTCCCTTCAGGCGTTTTTCATTCCTGTGGCCATGATCATTTGTTAGAAAAGTTGACTGCCTCTCCTGGAAATTAATCTTCATAGCCTTATATCATGTCGTCCCAAGAGGATGGCATTTTGATAGGCATTCTATCAAAGAATAAGATATGGTTCAATGACCCCATAATAGTTGTACATTCACTTTCAGAGATTTGGCTGGATAAATCTTTTGCAGTGTCCAAAGAACCACACTGACAATACATGCATATAAGAGCATTGCTTAAATAATAGTTGGAGCTCAAATACACTTCCACAATTTGGACTCCTTGAGGATCTGGGTTTTATCAATTTTGCAAGCTTGAGAATTTGTTGCATGAGATTTGTGGAGCGCCAAGACTGAGGGCATGTTGTGCATGCCTGGTTGCTTATGGTAGGCAGTAGCTGGAGCAAAAGTGGGTAGCTTTTGATGAAAGGAGTAAGACAGCAGTTGCATTCATGTTAAACGCAACTGATGCATGTTTCAAAGCTTCCCCTCCTAAATCAGATGCTTCTTAGGCTTGGCTTTTGAAATTTAGGCCCAGAAATTTGGACCATTTCTTTTGAAATAAAGCAGATTGGGGACTTGTTGACATCCTGGTCCTAGTTCCTATGCAACCTTGCCAAGCGGAAAACTACTAACGGGGCCTTGGCCTGCGTGGTCAGGTGGTGGAGCGAGAATATGATGTCAAGGATTCCAATCATACCCCTTTAACATGTCAAAAGAAAAAAAAAAGAAAAAGAAAAAAAACGATAAAAAGATGCCCTCGTATACCCCATCTAAAACTGAGATTCAAGTTATTTCTATCATGCTCATGCTGTTATTAGTTTACAAAAAATAAAAAATATTAGGTTTGATTTTATATCTTCAAGATATCCCATAACCAATAGGGAACGTATGTAGCCTAAGAAAGAAGAAAGAAAGAAAATTAAAATAAGTTACATCATAAGGAACATTATATATGAACAATTTGTTTACGCAAAGGGCCATTGATATTGCATAGAGTACAGTACAAGAACAAACTTTTGAAATTCGAATATAGATGTGCAGAATTCCTGTGTTATTACAAATGAATCACTCGCAATTGATAATTAAGTTTCGAGGCTAAAAATGTGTCATGAATCCCATTTATCCCCACTTAAATTAGGACAATCACTTTAAAACACACCCAATTGAATAGAAAAGTTAGCTAGAGCAGCTTTAGCCAATCAGCTTCCAATTGTTAAACACCTGACACCCTACCAATAGTGTACAGTAGCAACAAGCAAAAGAAAATTCTAAATGTCATTATCATGAAGAATGCCTCCGGCCTTTGACATTCTCCTCCCACATCTGATCCAGTCTGCTCATGTGCTCCAACAAATAACCCGCCTTCCTTTTTGCCCTCTCAGTCCCATTCTTGACGAGCTCTGACAATGGTATGAATCCTCCGAGCCTCTGCAAAGTCTTGAGATGCTCGGGATTCTTCTTGCAAAGGGCTAGCAGGATTGCAGCCGCATTCTCCTTGTTATGAGCCAAACCTGTTCTCAACAAGTCTATCAAAACTGGTATTGCATTAGACCTTCCTATGGCCACTTTACCATCATGGTGACTTGCGAGCACGGCTAGTATCGCTAAGGCTTCATCGACCATGCCACTATTTGGGTCTGCTAGCAGTTTCATCAGCGGGTCCATGATCCCAGCCCTAACAGCCCTCGCTTTGTTGCCCTGATAGATGCAAAGGTTAAACAAAGCTGTGGCTGCGTCCTTCTTGCCTCTAGTGCTCCCTTCACAAAGCAACTGAATGAGGGCAGAAATTGCACCTGACGACCCTATTGTCACCTTGTTCTCGTCCATGAGTGAAAGGCTGAAAAGGGTGGCGGCCGCATTCTCTCTCGCTTCCATGCTGCCTGACTTAAGGACCTCGACCACATGGGGGATCGCCCCCGCCATAACAATGGCCCCTTTGTTGTTGTCATATATGGAGAGGTTTAGTATGGCGGTGACTGTGTGCTCTTGTGTCCTGAGGTCCTTGGTTGACATAAGGTTGACGAGGAGTGGGATTGCCCCCGCCTCTGCAATGCATACCCTGTTGTCTGTGTTCCTCTTTGCGAGCAACCGCAACTCCTCAGAAGCTCCCCGCTGCTCCTCAGGGGATCCATCGGAGAGCAGTTGTACGAGATTGTCAATGGCTGCTCTATCACCGGGTACTTCTTCTGCCAACCCGCCACATGACTTTCGTGACCTGCTACAACCTGAATTCTTAGGTTGCTCGACACCGTGGGCTTCACACCACTGTGCGATCAAGCTCCTCAACACATAGTTTGGGATGAGTGCAAGATGGGGGAAGTGTCTGTTGTGTCTTAGGACACGTCTTGTGTCCGGAATCTATCCACCTTTGTATGCAGGAGCGTTCATAAGTCTATATAGATAATAAAACTTGAATAAATAACTCTATTAGAGAAGTTCTGATTGAGGGAAGGAAACCTAAAGTTAATAGAGATGAATTTTAATGAGATACCTGTCCAGTTGCCACTATCACGGGATCCCTCATCAATTCCAATGAAATGGGACAGCGGAAATCATCAGGGATGATAACAACATCAGCAGGTTTCTTCTCTGGTGAGCTTGCATTCTTGGCAGCACTAGCTTTGTCTAGTTGAGGGTCATTGGAGTCCTTCAAGCTCTGCAACCTGAGCATCATACGCTCTACATCATGGTTTTCAATTGTGTTCCCATTGCCTTCTGCGATGAAGGTTTGAAAGGCTTTGAATTCCTGTTCAATTGTTGAGATAGTAGTAAGTTGTAGTTTGTCTGCTAGCCTGCTCAACACTTTTTGGTCGGTTTCTGGCTCGGTTTGAATTGCAAAGAGGTCGGCACATAGCTCGGAATCAAGGAGACTTCCATTTCTTTCTTTGGCTCTTTTCAGTTGGGAAAGGACAAGTTCAACCTGGACATGAACATGTAGGATAAAATATGATAACTGCAATCTCATACTTGCTTTATGTATACATGTCCACAATAACTCAGATAGCTGAATGGTACCTGTTCACAAACTTCATCTGATATATTGAGCTGAGAATATGGCATCCTTCCAAGACTGTGCTCCAACTGTGATATAACTTCATGGAACTCATAGGTGATGCGCTTCTCCTCAAGAACCTTTAACAATCAAACCTCTGATTTGGTGAGAATTTGGAGAACAAGATTGAAATTATGGGGGGCAATTATGACTCATTAATAGCACTTGCTATCTGTAATTGATATGCACAAGACATACATTAGCAAACTGTGACTTAGGATATGCTAGTTAATGGCATGTGATGCTATGAAAAAAAAGAAGATATTATTTATTGTTGATAAAAACTAATTTGATTTATCCTATTTGAAAAAATCATCTAATTTAAATGATATATCAGTAAACTAGTTTTTGAAAATTTATACTATTTTTTAATTTCATTTGATATTTACCCTTATATACTTTCTTTCCTATATAAAATTTCAAACCATTTATATGATTTCAATATTTAATTTTTTCAAGTTCATATTTATTTCAAAATTTCTTTTAGCTATAAGCATCCTATTCAGTATCCTAACCATATACAATGTTAAAAGCCCCAAATCTCTTAACTATATTTCTTCGTTTATTCTTTATCAATGGATTTGATATTAGAAGAATAGGAGATAGTCATTACAAAGAAAAATTATGTCGGACCTTAAAAATAATAATCTATTAGGAGTTGATCCATATTATTGGGTATATTATGCTGAGGTCCGATCTCTCCCTGCGTGTCTATTTTTTCTTGTTTTGCCCATGGGTGTCTTGTTCCCAGCATTGGACCTCTAGAAAATTGTATTTTTTATTTTCTTCAAAATTAGGGATATGGTGTTGGGCATTTGGGGGTTTGTTCGATGTCTAAAACATCCGACAGCCCTAAACTTGGGCATCCAATGTCTCGAACATCGGATGACCGCATTTTAAGCCATTGGGACCCCAAGTTAGTGTCAGTGATGTAGCAGACATTGGACCGATCCCTAACACTAAACTTTCATTTGTAATGCAGCCCGACATTTGAATCATCAGTTAGCTATGTCGACATAGACCTACAATACGGGGCCGCTCAAAAATTTAATTAAAAGATATCCTTAAAAGTGGTCCGGTATTACCAACATCGCTGCAAACAAAAAAAAAAGTCATCAAATCCAATATCTGATATATCGAACTAAGACAAGAGCTCCCAAAGATATAGATGAATGCCTAATAATACTATTTTTAAGGTAATTTTTTGAAATCATCATCATTTTAACCTTTTCCAAATAAGAAATGATATTTCTAAGGATTTGGAATGAAAAAAGAAATTATAATAAATTTGAAACCCGCCCTCGTTTCATTGCGTAAAAGGGGAAAACTGAGAGAAGTCAAACTGAGGCGTTTTAAGATGATGTGAAAAACAGAAGATCACTTGAGGCGAAAAGCAAGAATGAGGCAGTTGGGTACACAATCAGTGTGACAGCAGAGTGCAAATGCACCAATCAACATGAGTAACTAAAGCCAAAACACTATTAGCATTGTCAAATGTCACTACCAATAGAACCCCTTAGAAAAACAAATTCCCAATTTCTTTTTATTAGAGCCAATTCCAGCCAATCAAGGGAAGAAGTAAGAGAAGAGATATACATGGAGACGCACAACAGATCCATGGAAACAAGGACATGAGAGCAAAGCAGAGGGGAGCATGGCACAAACGAAGACTGACCAGGCGGATCTTGCTGGTGGATGGGTGGCTGAGGAGCAGCAGCATTTCTTTAGCTTTGTGAATCGCTGCAGCCAAATCCGGCAACAATGGGCGACAGGCGGCGGCAACAGCATCTGGAGGAGTAGATGCCATGAGAAAGTCTCTGAGCTCCTCGAAGAGGGGGGCGAGGAGGAGGATCCTTCTCATGAAGCTCCCGCACTCCTTCCTATTAAGGGGCGGAGGAAAGCAGAGCTTTTCGCTGCCCCCCATTCTCCCGATCTCCCCTACAAGTCCGAGAAGAGACTCAACCAATTCTTCCTCTCTCTCAGCAGCGGCCGAAGCTGGGGAGATCTCATCTCCATTATTATCCTCTGCAGCAGCAGAAGAGGAAGAATGAGTATTTACTCCTCCTCCATGTTGGTGTTGGGCCATGGCCCTTAGACTGGTGTTGATTTTCAGCACACTACTGACTACAAAATCACAAATGCATTGCCTTGTGATCTGATCTAGAGAGAGAAAGAGTATTTAGTGAGATATTCTGTTTGTTATCTTCGCTAATAACTCGATGGATGATGTCTGATGGGAAATGGAGGAGAGAGAAACAGAGGAATCGAGAGTGAGGGTGCGGTGCAATTTTATTGTGTGGGGATGGTCTAATAATTGAAGCAACAAAAATTCGGGAAAAATTCAGTATCTTCAACCGATAAAGAGATGAATACGGTGCTCAGTCAGATAAATCAAATTCACTTCTGGAAAAACAGCGCGTATATTATGGGACCATACTCTACTCTGCACCTGTGATTTAGAAGCCATTTACTTCCTTGTTCCAAACCCAAACACTAGTATTTTTTTTTTTTTTTTTTTGGGAAATGATTTGATAGGATTGCAACCTTATTAAAATAAATAAGGCCCCACCTTATAACTCATTTAAAGTTGTAATTCAGGAATTGCAAAAGTTTCGCATCGATCTTCTCGTCGTGAACATTAGGATTATAAATAAAAAATTGGGATTTCAAGGACTAAAAATTCGGCATATTGTAATAAATAATCTGGATGGTTCATTTCACCTTAAAAATAAGTGTTTAAAGATCCGTAAGATCTTTATCATTTTTTGAATTTCAAAAGTGCTTTCTGGACGAAGATTTGAAAATGAGGCTTTGTTTTATTTTCATAAAGCTTAAGCTTTATAAAACCTTCATCTTTTTTTTTTTTTTTATAATTAGAAATTTTTTTTTAAAGATTATATACAATGAGTCCATTTGTTTTTGGTACAATGAGGTTATAATCACTCTTAACCATACTGAATATGAAATTTAATAAGTAGAAGTGTGTCACAATATTTAAATTTTTTTACTTTGGACTTTGTGTCGAAAAACAATGACACATCCTCAATTACTCAATTTTCGAATCCAATGGTCAACGATGATTGTGATTTTCTTATATCAAAAAATAAAGGGTTTTGTTAAGCTACACCACTCCCACTTTGTGGTGCAGACCCTTAAAGTGCTCACTAAAATACCCTTGAATTGTAATATAAAATTTTTCAAGTAACAGCATTTTTTGGTCATTTAGAAAGGTAGAATGTATATTTTTATAAAAAAATAGTAGCATTCTATTAGTAGTTAAAAACAATTAATTTATCTTGTGGGTGATATCATACACCATATCGGTGATGTCATTGTCCACTACTGTCAATCAATGCTTTTGTTTCTATTAAGAATTTTTAGCTTACTATTAACTAATTACTTAAAATACCCCTAAATTAAAAGTTACCATACTATAGGATAAGGGTATCTAAACGTTTAAAAATGTGGAGCACTTCAAGGGTCTACATCACAAGTAGTGTAGCCTAACAAAACCCAAAATAAATGGTCTCCTTGTATATATTTCCAAAAAGTCATATAAAGTTACAACATTAGTTATAGAAATAAGATTGCAATAATTTACACCGTCTATGTTATTTGGAAGTTATAGATATACTATGCAAATTTACACAAACCACACCCTTTTTCGTTAATATTATTCCAAATTTGAAAATTAAGACAAGTGAGGATGTTTACGCCATCCGGCTCGAGAGGGTTGGGACTAAATTAGCAAACATGCCTCTGCTTGGGGTTCAAAGCTCGAGCGAGGTTTTTTTTTTTTCTCTTCAGTTTGAAATACAAAATAAATAAATATGAAGACTCTATGGCTCAAGTAAGATAGATGATAAAAATACTAACCCAAAGCGATCGGTAATTCAGTCATTTTTAATAAAATTGGCAGGAGGAATCTTACTAAAAAGTTTTAAAAAATTATTAATTAGTTCTCTTGATCCCATTTTCTTTGAGAAAAGAAAAAAAAGCATCCACTGGTTAAGTTGATTTTATGATGTGCTAAATTAGTTTAATTGGGGTGCATCTAACATTTTCTGTACGAGAAAGAAGCCTTCTAACAAATATATATTATTATTGTCAATAAGGGAAGCACGTCCTAGATTTCAACCCTGCCAAGACATAGCACCATCAAATCCCAACAACGAGTAAAATCGGAGTTTGAAATTTAACAAGACTTATGTTTTTCATGAGCGCATAACCCTGCTGGAGCACCTATCTAGGAGAATTTTTTTCTTGATCTATTATTTTGAGATCTACTTTAGAATCACCAGATAACTATTTAAAAGGAAAACAGATTTTATTTTCTCAAACACTTTTTAAGTTAGAATGTCTAAATATTAGACAGCATATGTTCAGTTGTAATTTTTTTTTTATTTTGTTTTAAAGTAGATGTAGAGCAAATATCAGATTTGTGCTATCAGCTGCGGCTTCACCCAAGGGAGTAAGTGAACATGATGCTCCTGCAAGAACACATGATGATTGACGGAGTGATTTGTAGGATAGAAGAGAGGAGTATGGGCAGCACGATGATGGAATAGTCAGCCTTCCAGCAAGATGTGGTGTGATGAATCTACCAAACAAACAATGAAAGAATGCAAGCTGAGGTCCATTATTTTAAATGCAAGCTGTAATGGAATAACACTATCTTATATTTATTATTATTATTATTATTATGTATGCCTTCCCTCTAATGTCAATACTTTTTTCCTTTTTTCATTTGAATCATCAAAGTGAACTTCTCATACGCGTTAGAATAATCACTCTCTCACTTGCCCTAAACTAATAACAAAAACATTGGTAGGTTAGTGCCACTCATTTTATTTGTCCAAACAAAACAACTGTTTGGCAATTGGAATGTTTCTGTCATTTTCCTCTATTCCCTTTGGTACACATGCATCAAAATTATGTATACAACTGCCCAGAAAGGCCAGCTTGGGCATTATTGAAAGGGATTGTCTATCATTTATCTTTTTTATATGGAGGTCACAATCATTTTTGTCTCATAAATTTCAAATTGAGTGGTTGTAAGAGTGTCATTAAATAGACACAAAGTACCAATATATATATATATATATAATTTAAAACGCTGATTTTCAAAAGAAAAGAAATGATACCTCTTCTTTTTCTTATTTCGCATGAAAAGTTATTTTGTTCCCCCGGCCTGGCCAGTACTTAGGCCAGGCTATTCCTTGTTTTTGTTCCAATGAATGATAAATCAAATGATTTACCTGATTAAAAAACTAAAAAATTTTCTTTCTTGTTATTGAAACAGTTTTTGTTCTTATTTCACTCTTATAGAATCTATTCTAGAATAGAATACGCATGTCTTTCTTATTTATTTACTTTCATTCTATGATTCTATTCTAATTACTATATTCTTTACTTTTTATTTTTTTTCATAAACTTTGTGACCCACTCCAAGCTATCTAATTTGACATCGAATGAATGGGAATAATTGTGACCTCCATATACAAAAGATAAATGGTTTTTTTATATACAATCCCAAATTGAAACCTACAAATTATCTGCACCTTAAAAAACAGATTCCAGGACTTGAAATAATCCATCTCACAACATTGTTTTTTGAAGTATCCATTTTAAATTTTCATGGATCCATTAGTCTTTGCTATTTTGGGAGCCTCAAAGTTTATGGTTAGGGGCAAAACTGATTTGCAAAGTTTTCCAGTATCAAATTTGATTTTTCTGATATGGTTCTAGACTAGAGTATGGCCTCAACAGAAATCGTAAAGCCGCAGCCCTGCCGAAATCACTGTTTTTTGCTTTCCATAATAAATGAGGAATTTGGGGAACTAATTAGACTTTTCCTTGTTCCCATTCCACGGCATAAGATTGATGTGAAGCCACCTCGCTCGGCCCACGCCAAAAGACCGTGTCTATGTCGTGCACATGCTCAGTCACTTATGGTGACCATGTAGTGCACATGCTCAGTCACTTATGGTGACCATGTATTCTACTTAATTTATTCAACACCTGGTGCATTATTCTTCATGGGATGGGATTTCACAACCTGGATCGGTGAGGCAAATCCTTAATCCATAGATCTATATTGGATAACTGGATCCACGGATCGGTTATAAATTGATGATCCAAAAATATATTAAGGCATAAATCAAATAAAATAAAAAATTAAAATAGAGCTCTATAAGATGGGGACTTAGTGGAATTTTTTTTTTTTTTTAAAAACATTAGATAACCTTCAAATAAAAATAAAAACATATATTAAAGAGTTTTAGGGGGTAATCAAACTAGGACCTATACCGTCTTAGAATCAGTTCAGTCCTAATCGATTTTCATCTGAGTTGACGATCTAGATCGGAAATAGTTGGGTTTTGCCAAGTCCCTACTCGACTAAATTTGTGGTACGCAAATTAGGTAATAACTTGCAAATCTATTTCTTCCTTTGACTATAAAATTTGAGCTCAAGTAGATTTGCAAACACATGAAATAGACCGTCCAAAAAAAAGCAGCAAGATAATTATATATTTAAGATTTGAAATCCATTTTTTCTTTATCTGCAATCGTCAGGGCATATCTAGGGGTGTTCATGTTCTTTGGCTCGAGAGTTATATTTGTAGGGAGATTTGAGGTGCAGCTGTATGAAGTTACAACACTTTAGAAAATACCTTTCCTTCTTTCTATGGAACTTTTAAGCTATGGTGTCCATATTCCAGCGTGTGAGATATACAGTGATTAATCTTAATTCCCAATGCCATACATTCAGCATGCTGCAATTAATCTACATCACCCATGGTTGGGAATGGACCGTGGAATACAAAGTGGTCTGCATGATAAATCTGGAATGCAGTAGTTAATCTCCACCATCTAAGCCAAATGAAGGAGGGATAACTGGTGGCGTACCATATATCAATTAGGTTGTAAGTCTATCCCACACTCTCAAACGCCATTTATGGGTCTTTGATTCAAATTAAAAAATAAATTATTCAGCATTTTGAGGATCTTTCTCTTTGCATCGCGTAGCATTTTAAAATCCGAATTGATAGGGGGGTTGGCCCTTTGTTGGACTGGTTCAGATCGGCTGAATTGGCATTCCATTAAAAAAAATAGAAATAATAAAATAGAAAACTGAAAAGAAAAAAATGTTGTACGGAACCATCTTTCAAAAACCATATTGAAGGAGAGAGAGATGGACGATGAGATCTGTGTGCTCCCTGCTTTTTTTTTTACCTCTGGAAAAAGGAGTGGAGTAGAACCCCATTTTTCCCACGCACTGAATTTTTTAAAAAATTGTGACACACAATATATGTGGAATAAAATGTGTTCACCATTCTTGGCCACTCAGATCCTTTGTGTCATTCTACCCGTTCTATAAAGGCACTAAATGACTAACGACAACAATATAAATATGGTGTTAATACATAGGGTTCATACACAACTGGCATACTCTAAACATCATAAGGCTCTATGAAACATAGATATTCGAATTCGAGGGTCTGATCATATGTAGATATTTGAAAAACACTGACACGCATGTCGACATTTATAGAAATAGGTACGACACCCCAATTGAGTGTCCAAAAGCGTGTTATGTTTTGGACAAATTTCATTTATGGAATGTGGCATTTCTTTGTTTCGAAAGACCTTTCTTCATAAACATATTTTATTTTGAAGAGAAAATAATTATTTTAGAACTAGACAATAAAAGTTATCCATGTTTACATATTTTAATTTTGAAATGCTCGTACTTCATAAAATATTTTTTAATTTTTAAAGATGGTAGTTGTCCATGGCATGCTTATAAAAGTAAATTTTAAAAATGTCCATCATTTTATTCAGAATAAGGAATAAAAGATATGTTCATTTTAATTAATAATCAACCTAATGGCTTTTAATTTTTTTCTATGTTATGATGCAACATGGATTAGATTATAAACCAATTTTGATGGGTAAAACTCAGATTCACAAAATAATAATTTTAATTAATTTATTTAATTTAATTATGTTTTGTGAAGCTTTACTATTATTATGACATGTGAATTGTATTATATTCAAATGTAAATGTATGTACAGAATTAATATTTATAAAAATTCACATTTCTGACACTCGTATCTATCATAGATAAATATTTATCAAAAATTCACATTTTTGATAAATATCCCGATAATATTTACCAAAAACTTATGACACTCGCATCCGACATTTGTGTCCCGTTTCTGGATGATAAATTTGGGTTTCTATGTTTCCTCGTTAGAAACCAAAAGGCACAATAAAGTTATCCTATTCGTACCCAAGTTTCTCCTCATGTGGATAACACAGAACACGTATCGGCATGGGAGTAAAATTTGCACGCTAGCACACACGTATCGGCATCCAGGGAAGGGAGTCGAGGTGCTCAATATAATGCCATTTCGCCCGTCCATGTGCACCGCTTTTGAATGGTTAAGGCAGGGCAGGGCAGGGCAGGGCATCTGAGTGAGAAAGAGAAGAGGAGAGAGATGGCGTCGAAGCAATTTCTCCCGCAGAAGCAAGACACACAGCCGGGCAAGGAGCATGTTATGGAACCAACCCCTCAAGCCACCTGCCCTCACCATAAACCCTCAAGAAAGCTCGAGGTAACCCCTCTTTCTCTCTCTCTTTCATGTGTTACACCAGTTTGCTGGGCTACCTGAGGATCCGCACCATACCAATTAATTCCAGGGAAGAAACTTGGGGTTGACATGAATATGTATACATATATATTTTGGGTAAAACAGTTTCTTCTGCTAAGTTAAGTTAGGTGTGGAAATATATTCACGTTAATTTTGCAATGGTATGAAAAGATGCGGGGTATATGAAAATATGTTCACGCGATCCATACTTGTAGTCTCTCATGTTTTCCCTCTAAGTCACTTGTTTTAACATCTCCTGTGGAAAGCCTGAATGAATTACGGCTGAGTGAGAGTGGGTTAAACCATACAGGGGCCTTCCTTGCCTTAGTGGGAGTCGATAATACATTGTTATCAAGGGGAGTGATAGGTTCTCAGGACTTCAACTAGTCTCAAACCCCAAGTCTAGTTTTTTTTTTTATCAGTGTTATATTAAGGGACTGCATCTTATGAATTGAATTCAGTTTAATTGAGTTGAGTGGTGCAATGATGTGTAGGGGAAGGTGGCCCTGGTGACTGGTGGCGATTCGGGAATTGGGCGAGCAGTTTGTTACTGCTTTGCAGATCAACGGTGGCGTTCACTTACGTAAAGTCACAGGAAGACGAGGACGCTGAGGGATGCCAAGTCTCCCAGTGCAAGAAATCCCTTGTGCATTCCCCCTGAGCTAGGGTTTGAGGAGAAAATTGCAAGAGGGTAGCGGACCCGGTCATCAATGCATTTGCAAGGTGAATGCTTACAAGGGGAACCCAAAGCTGCTGGATTACACTTCGACAAAGGGAGCGATCGTGGCGTTCACTAGAGGGCTGGCTTTGCAGGTGGTTAAGAGCGGTATACGTGTCAATGGTGTGGTCCCTGGGCCCGTGTGGACATCACTCATACTGGCCTCGTTCGATCCGATCCGATTCGATCCGCAGGAGGTTGAGACCTTCGGTGTAGAGGTGCCCATGGGAAGGGCTGCACAGCTCCCCTCTTATGTCTGCCTTGCATCTCAGGACTCCTCATACTACACTGGTCAAGTCCTCCATCCCAACGGTGGGAAACCTCAACTCGTTATTTACTTGGTTCTTTTTTATGTTTTTTCATTGCCTCTCCACAAGTTCAATTATCCTTGTTTTTTCTACTCTTTCATGACCTTTCAATTGCAGGCACAAGTTTGTATCCCACTTTCCCTGAACTTTTGAGTCCCATTGTAGGGGTCCTTTTATTAGTTTTATGAGGTTGGAAACAATAGAAAGCTTTATACGTTTCATGATGTTGAACTAACTTTATACTTTTTATGAACTGGGTCGGGTAAAAAAAAAAAAGACTACAATGTCATATATTAAAGTCTATTTCAAGCAATAATTAACTTTAATGGCAAGATTGTTTTAAAATTTTTGGATCGAATCAAGAATTGGTCCGGATAGTAGGGATTCACCGGTTCACCACATTGATAAAAATCGTGTGCATAGCTAGAAATTGGTCCAGGTATTTATTGACGCCAGTGATCCATATCAGAATCGATCCAATTTTAAACTATGCCGACGGGGACCTAAACAGGTTTCAATAATCAACGGGTACTTAGGTTCTTCACTGCATCTTATCTGTAGCACAAGGTTTACACCAAAACTAAGTGCGCCATGGTGGAACTTATAGCATCTATTAACGGTACATGCTATGTACCATGTACATTAATTAATTTTTGGGAAGGGCCTCTCTTTTTGTGAACACTACACTAGTTAAGGTGTATGTACCATGTACATTAATTAATTTTTGGGAAGGGCCTCTTTTTTTGTGAACACTACACTAGTTAAGGTGTATGTACCATGTACATTAATTAATTTTTGTGAAGGGCCTCTCTTTTTGTGAACACTACCCTAGTTAAGGTGTATGATGATGCGTGTTTTTTTGGCAGGTGGCGTCATTGTGAATGGGTGAGGGTGGCGAGAGAGATGTTTATGCATGCATGTCTAAATATGGTATGTGCCTTGGCCCCATAAAATCCTGTAATTATACGGGAAGAATACTTCTGTACTGTACTGTTTGGTGGCTTTGAATGTTAGGTCTGGTGTATGGGATGTGGATGTGCTCGCTCGTTTAGACTAAGTAATGACGGATGTTTTATCATTTCAGGTCACCGAAATTTGAGAACTTTGTGATCCATTCCTAGTTACCTTATAAGACCTACTCCACATTATTTATGTTCACTTGGATCTCCAAGATGCTCCAAATTCATGTATTTGGAGTGTTCAATGACGAACTCCAAAAACCAGGTTCCATATGTTGAAAATCTAATTTGGAAACGGGGTTCTTGGAGAGGGAAGAATGAATGGTAAACTTTGGCTGTGCTCTTTTTGTTTGATTTGGAAAGTGTTTCGAAAATGAGTTGCAATGGGAGGGTCAAGAAATTTTTTTTTTTGGTAAATGTTCGAAGCTTTATTAAAGAATTTAAATAAAGAAAAGAAAAGACAAAGATAGATAAAGCAAAGAAGTTCCGCCTTCAATGAGAGTATGTTATATCATTGGCTTCACGATAAACATGCGTGAAAGAAATATCGACATTTAGTTTGAAACGGTATGTATCTGGTGGGGATCAAAAGTAACACTGGTGCATCTTCATTATACCTTTGAGAAACAAATTTATCTTCATTATACTTTTGAGAAACAAATTTTGTAGATTAATGAAGACGTTTGCATTAGATGCCGTTTGATTGCCAGTCATTTGTTTTGAATAATCTTTTCAAAGTTTCCTTGGCTGAGTAACTCGAAAGGTAAACATAAAAAAAGCAGATAAGCGGTGCCTAGGCTCTAAACAATCGAATTATAGCCTAAACAATAGAGCCTATAAATGTGGTTTTAATATCGAAAATCTTTGTAATAGTTTTAAAATATATTTTTATATTTAATTATAAAATTTAAAGCTTTGAAATAAGTGTAAATTGATATATTTATGAAATCTTGAAAATTGACCGTCAAAAAATGTGTTATAAAATACATTATTTTTAAAATTTGCAATCTATTTTTTTCTTATGTCTATGTATCTTGATGTCGAGATCATCAATTTGAAATTATTTGAACATCAAAACAACCTCTTCTAGTAAAATTTGAAATTTTTGAGGTAGGCTCAAATTTGATTTGTTTAGAGAGCCTCAGCTCTCTATAAACTTTCGCTTTAAAAAATTGTATCCAGCCTTTGGCCGAACAAAAAATTTGTGACAAATCTTTGGCCGCTTGGTGTACACCCTGAAAAATAGCAGTAAAAAGTTTTGAAGTGAATAAAAAATTAAACATTTATAAAAAGGGAAAGTATATAGGGAGTATTTGCATTTGATATAAGGTTTTCACATTACTTTTGATATAAGGGATCCAGTTACTATTGGATGCCATATTGGGTGGTGGTAATTATTTCATTGACGAAGTTCATATTTTAAAAAAAAATTCTAGAGTTTTATGATGTATTCAAGGCATTAAATTTTACATCAAATGGTTGTAAGGAATAGTGATCACTTTGTATGAAATATAAATGATGTTATTGTATACAATCCCTACTAAAAATATTTAAAAATCTTGAAACCCTCTTAGCAGAAATCACTAGAAGACAATACCGACTAGAAGACTGTAAGGATGAAAAGTACATTAAAAATAGATTATAGAATGTTGATTATCTTGCATGTTTCGTAAACTAAAATGAAGATAGGGCATGAAAGTTCTTTTATAGGGTATATTTCCATCCAAATGTTTTGTCAAGCTGGCCGGGTTGAACTGGAATTGGCCTCTGGCTGTCTAGTTTAGCTGGTTTTAGCATGTTTTTGTCTTTTGAGTTCTTAAGATGTTGAATTTTTTAAAAAGAATTATTAAAAACTAGAATTTATTTGTAATGTATTTTTTTAATGTTTTTAATCATTTTAGTAAAAAATTATTTGGACCACGAATATTTATTTTTACGATTGTTTCTCTTTTTGGAACATTTCTAAAGTACCTCTTGATTATTTTTTTTAAAAAAAAACCTTTTCACTCAAAATCTATTTTTAACTATGTTTTAGACTTTATTTAAAGGGAAAAGATGGGATTAGCCCGCCAACTCATATGAACGTATAAGCCCAATGGTTCAGATTGAATCTGGGCTGATCTGACGATCAAAGATGTCCGGTAGTGCTTGAATTTTATTTATTTTTTTACAAATCCAAACCACTTGAAATTTTAGGTACGTGTTATTTCATCAAAACACACTTAATAAAAATATAAAAAAAAATATTCTCAAAAAAAAAAATCCAAATACCCCTCGAAACTGTTTGGGGGTATTTTGGTTAATTTATTTATGTAAAATATGTTTTTGATATTTTTCAAAGATTCACTTATTTTTTATGAACACATTTAAAATTTCAAGTGATTTGAATTTGTAGAAAAAAAACTAAAATTCAAATACTATCGGACATCCGTGATTGTCATATTGGCTCAAATTCAATCTAGAACGATGGGCTTATATGTTCATATGAGCTAGTGGGCTAATCCCATCTTTTTCCTTATCTAAATGTGTTATGTTTAAGTTTCTAAATGTAATTTCCTTATCTATAGACTTATTTTGTATATATTTTTAATTTTTTAATGATTTTGGCCGGGCCAAGGACCTGCGCTGTTTTTCTTGATTACCCAAAAGCCAGAACGGTCCCGTGTTACTTTGACATGTCAATGTCTGGGTTACGGGCCTGGTTCGTATAATTGGATACTGTTTCCAAGTAATATACCGGTTATTTTTATATTTGTATTTTATATTTTTTAATCTTTATTTATGCTTTTCTAAGTTCTATAACCTAGCCACAACTCGGCCATACTAGGCTGAGTCCTGCGACACCAGTTTAGTGTCATTAGCGGTGAAAGTATTGTCACCATCGCAGGGAGGCAAGAGGTGAAACACTTTTTTGTAATGTAACATGTAGACCAAGGTCGGATATTCATGAATATATACTTACTCAATTTTTTACTTGCCCCCTATCATTTAGATATGGATATGTGTCCCAACATACGAGTGTAAAAAGTGTGAATCTTAAAAATTAGAGTATTTAGACGTTTAGATACCTTTATCCTATAGTATAGTAACTTTTTGTTTAGAGAAAGGTTTCTATGCTTCCCTTACAAATATAGAAGTTCTATCCTTCTTTTACCATCCAGCCTTCTAATTTTGATCAAGAGAGTCACTCACCGTTTGATCTTAGATCCGACATCTCAAAGTATTTTATTTTTAGTTTTTCTTGTACAAATTGAATGAATATGAAATTTGGTCCGTGCCATCTTCTCATTGGGGCGCACCTATAAAAAATATTAAAATTTTTTTTTCAATAAAATATAATGACCAAAATACCCCTTGAAACATTCAGGGGTATTTTGATTATTTTATTTTGTTGAAAATATTATTTTTTTATATTTTTCTCTGGTGCTAGTTTAATAGAGGAATAGACATCTAAAATTTGGTGTCAAAATAGTTTATAGAAAAAAATTTAAAATAAAATAGTTTAGAAATGTGACATTATGATTGGGCAATCTTAGCCCTCCATTCAAAATGGCCCTCCATTCAAAATGGACGGTTGGATAAGGAGGAGGATAGAACTTCTGTGCTGCAGGAGAAGCATAGAAAGCTTGCCTTTGGTTTAAGGGTATTTTAAGTAATTAGTCAATGGTAAACTATAAATTCCTAAGAGAAACAAAAATATTTATTAACAATAGTGGACATGGCATCGATATGATGTATGACATTACCCACAAGATATATTAATTGTTTTTAACTACTAATAGAATACCACTATTTTTTTTTAAAAAAATATCCATTCTACCCTTCTAAATGACAAAAAATCCCCCTACATAAAAAATTTTCTATTACAATTCAAGGGTCTTTTAGTGTCAAAAAACGTTGAGCACTTTAAGGGCCTATACCACCAAGTGGTGTAGCCCAACAAAACCCTATCATATATATATAT